TTCAGGCATTCCTCTGCCTGCCTATTGCTAGCAAATAGTTCAACTACATCTCACAGAAACAGTGAGATTGCTGTCAGGCCTGATCTGATAACACGTGGTGCCTACTCCTAGGCGAATGTGACTGCACTCCAGCGATTCCTCCTGATTCCTCCTGGCGGTGGCTCTGCCTTCCTAACAGTGATTCAGCTGCTCTTACTGGAGTCCTACTGTTTTCACTCATCAGCACTGCGGGAGTCGTCTTTTTATCTTCACAGTTTCATGTAACTTTGAGGACTCCTTCCGGCCTCCCTCTGAGGCTATCTGGGCATTTAGGTGGTTTCCAATTCCCTTTGGAAATTAACCCCCAGGATATCAATCATTAAATATGATGGTTTTCCCCATTTTCCTGAAAGTTATTGAGGACAATTCTCAGAAATGAAATCGCTGAGTCTGAGAACAGAGACTTCCTCTAAAAGAACAGAACTGTCCTCTAAAAGGCCTGTCCAGAGCCCAGCAGGACAGCACCACTGTTAGGCATCCCACCGGAAACAAAAGAATGTGTATGCGTGTGCACATGGAAGCCAGAGGTCTCACCGACCTGGCACAGGACAGGAACTCAACAGCTCGGCTCGGCTCACTAACCACAGAGCCCCAGGAACTGCCGTCTCCACCTCACCAGGCCCAGGATGAGAAGTGTCCCCCCACACGGGACCTGCAGTCCGCCTCCCAGACAGAGGGCCGAACAGCATGGGACTTTTGCTTGTGAGCATGTCAAGGGGCAGCTTCAAGCCCATCACGGGGCCCCGAGAAATGAAGTCAGGTCTTCATGCTTGCAAGGCAAGCTTTTTACTGAGCTAAACCAGATCCTGTCTGCACAGACCTTTACATATATTTGCTAATTTGAGAGATGAGAAACAGCTTGACGGTTGCCTAGGGAGCCTGGCTAATGTGTGTAATTACCCGCTCACAGGTTCTGCCCATTAGTCACTGACTCTATAGTTCCCTTATGGTTATATTTATTTCAGATTTTGTTTTGTTTTTGAGATAGTGTCTCGCTCGCTGTTGTGCTGATATATTGTGTACCTTAATAAAATTTGCCTGAAGATCAGAGAGACAAAGGAACAAGCCACTGCCACATCTTACCTCTGGGACTCCTCAGCCTGAAAAGGCCCTCTAGCCTAAAAGCCTTTAGCCAAAAGGGCTTCCTCAGTCGAAAAGCCTTAGTTCCTGCTCCTCGCGCCTTATCTACCTTTCTCTGCCCCGCCGTATCACTTCATTCTTAGTGCTGGGATTAAAGGGGTGTGTGCTTCCCAAATTCTGCTGGTAGCAGAGCGTGAGATCTCAAGTGCTGGGATTAAAGGCCTGTGGTTCCCAAATACTGGGATTAAAGGTGTGTGCCACCACTGCCTGGCTCTGTTTCTCTCCTACACTGAGTCAATCTCATGTAGTCCAGGGTGGCTTTGAACTCACAGAGATCCAGACGGATCTCCGCCTCCCAAGTGCTAGGATTAAAGGTGTGTGCCACCACTGTCTGGCTCTGTGTTTAATCTAGTGGCTTGTTCTGTTCTCTGATCTTCTGGAAAATCTTATTAGGGTACACAATATATCACCACATTTCCCCTTTTTTCTCTAAAATAATAAAAGGTTATAAGAAAAACTATATACAATAAGTATATATAATAGATACAGTCAAGAATTATATTAACACACTGGCCTTTGCTGGCCTGGAACTCATTGAGTAGCCTAAGCTAGGATGGGCTTACTCTCGAAATTCTCTTGCCTCAGCCTACCCATTACTGGTATTACATGTGTATATCACTACGCCCAGGTTTGTTATGTGTTAGTGGTGTGTGTGTGTGTATAGTGTATGCCCACGTGTGTTTAGACACCTGTGCTGCTGTGTAGAGCGCAGAGGACGACTTTGGGTGTCCCATCTATTACTCTGCCTTACTCCTTTGAGTCAGGGTCTCTTTATGAGGCTGGAAATCTGGTTGTTTTGTTTTGTTTTGATAAGGTTGACTGGCAACTAGCAAGTCTCAGCGATCCTCCTGCCTCCCAGCATACACAGCTCTGAGGTTATAAGGCATACGAGACCACGCCTAGCTTGTTCTGTGGGTGGGTACTGGGATCTGAACTCTCATTTTTGGTTTTGGCTTTGGTTCTTCAAGACAGTTTTTCTGTCTCACTCTGTAGAGTAGGCTGGCCTCGAACTTGGAGATCCTCCTGCCTCTGCCTTCAGAGTGCTGGGACTAAAGGCGTGTGCCACCACCACAAACTCCAGCCTTCACGATTATGCAGCAAATGCTTTTAATCACTGAATCATCTTCCCTCCCGCCCCCCACTTACCCCCCCCCCCCTTTTTTTTTTTGAGATAGGTTCAGAAGGTTCCCAGACTGGTCTTGAGTTCCTGGTTAACTGTAGTAATCTTTCTGCCTCAGCCTTCCAATTACTATCAAAATATGATTTCTAACTGTAACCATCCTTTCTGCTGGTGTTATTTGACTGGATATATATTATTTATTTTTGAAACAAGCTCTCACTGTGTAGCCCTGGCTAGCTGAGACTAGGCTGGCCTTGAACTCACAGAGATCCACCAACGCCTTCTATTAGCTGTAATTTTACTTCTGGCTCCACAGGAGCTCCAGAGGCCTCCAGAGGCCTAGGTAACAGGGCACAGGGTAAGGATGGCTCTGAGCCCTGATGTGCATGAAGCTGCCTTTGGACATGATCGCAAGCAATTCAGACAAAAGCAAATGCTGTCTGTCCTTAAGCCTGGATGGTGACTGCAGGTCACATGAAAGCCCCCTTTGCACTTCACTATGCTTCTCCCACACTGTATATTTGGACATATTTTATTTGCTACAGAAAAGAAACACATGGTAGATGTTACAGTTAAGTCATAACCGCCCGCCCCCGCAAAAGGTAAACATTCTCCCTTAGCAGAGGGCAGGCCCTTCCTCTGCAGTATAAAGTATGGAGGGTCACTGAGATGGCTTAGCAGGTAAAGGCACTCGGCTAGCAAAGTGTCAGTCTTGACCAGGCTCAGAGAATCCACTTTGGGATATTTAGGGCCCAAGTTAGGGCAGGCCAGGGCTGTCCACTTCCCAGTCCCTGGGCCAGATGTTGAAATGCTCCCTGGAACCGCTGCTGCTGTACCACTGCATACCAGTTCCAGCTGCTTCCGCTGAAGGAAGAGCTGAACTGCTTGGCAGCTCCCCAGATGCCCACACCCACTTGAGTCCAGCCAACAGCTGACCCACTCTTAAGTGGAGAGCTCTGAATCCCTCCCCATGGCCCACAGCAGGGAAACTGAGGCAGGACCTGAGAAAGGGAGGAGTTCCAAGTATGGCAAGTCCATCCTTTCTCCATGCACAGGGATAGGTCCCGAGAACAGGTCGGAAAAGACTGCTCAAGGCAATGAGTCTCTCCATGAGCCACAGGGCCACAGGACTAGAATCTGTCCTCCCCCATGGCTACCCTCTCCTACCTTCCTGGGTCTCCTCAGGCATGGCAGTTGATAGGTAGTCAGGGGCCCGATCAAAGTGCCCAGTAGCAGAACTGGACGAAGGCAGCCGTGGCTCCTTTGGGATCCTGGGAAAGGCCTGGCTGCCTCCCAACCTGGTCTTAAAATAGGCCTGAGCTCACTTCCCTGGGCTATATTTAGAGGGGGTATCTCTGAGCCATGAAAAGGGGCAGAGTGACCCAGATGGGCTGGCCTAGACTACCTACGTGGTGATAGGGCTCAGCCAAGAGCAAGCCTCTGCTAGCACATGGGCCCAGGGAACTTCTCTGAAAACCATACCAACTCTAATCACACATAGGCTTTGGGGCCTTCACCCAGAAGGTTGGCAAGCAGCGTGTGCCATGTAGCTATTGACAGGAAAGAAAGCCTGCACATCTCTGCTCAGCCAGCCATCTCCTTCCAGCAAGTGTGAGATAAGCAAGCGCCCACCACTGTGTGACCAGCTAGTACCAGATATTGGGGGGCCAGGGGAACAGCTGGAGCACAATGCCATAGGGATCTTGCGGGCCCCACAAGTGGATACCCATCCTGGCCAGCGGACAGACTGGGATTAGAAGCTAGTATTTCTAGTATTAAACTGTAGCCTTAGGTAAAGAGAACCTTGGGGAGTGGCCTCTGTTTTCCCATCTGTAAAACAGGAGCAAGGGGTCCTAGCCAATTGTACTGAGAATAAAAAGTGCAGAGACATGACTAACGACCTTAGCACAAAGTAGTCTTGGTCCTCCCTCCCACTCCTCTCCACGTGGGGGCGCGTGAGGGTGCACAGGGACACTGCTCACTCCTGAAGCGAGCCGGGCCAGTTTCCAGGCCTCAGTGTGTGAACTCTGTTCTGCTTCTTCTCGATGGTGAAGAGCAAGACTGGGGGGCCGGGGCGGGGGGGGGGGAGGTCTACCTTCCAAAACGTCCTGAATCCATCATGTCACACCATCGTATTAGCCCCCTGTCGTTGATCAGACTTGGCGGGCTTGTTCCCCACTCCGGGGCTTTGCCCTGGTTCTTCCCTCCTGGACGCTCTGCCACCAGACACCCTCTAACTGGCTCCTTCTTATCTTTCAGCTCAAGTGTCAGCCCTTGGGTGAGGTCTGCACGCATTCTTGCCCACATCAGTACTGTTTGTTTTCCTTAGCCTGGCATTAATAGCTGCAGAATGCAGTGCACACGCCAGCGCCCCCACAGGCTGCCTGGGTCCAGCTTGTCATCGAATACCACTTTTCATCTTCACTACTGCAATCTTTTTTTTTTTTTTCCCAAGACAGGGTTTCTCTGTATAGCCCTTGTCTATCCTGGAATTTGCTCTATAGACCAGGCTGGCCTAGAACTCTCAGAGATCCACCTGCCTCTGCCTCCCGAGTGCTAGGATTAAAGGTGGGTGCCACCACTGCCCGGCAGAACGGTAATCTTGGATGAGAAAAATTCAGGACTTAAGACTGCTAGGACAATGCCCCAGACTCCCAGCAAGGTCAAGAACTACCTGTTATCTGCTGGGGCCATTCCAACGTCAGCTGATAATGTGTTTATTGCATTACTTTAGTACAGTTGGCCTGCCTCACCCGGGAACCCAACGGCCTAATCTGTTCACAGCTTTCTGCTCCCTGCCCAAGAAAGAATGCTTCCCCCAGGGCAGGCACCCCAGACAGTTCTCTGGCCCTGCTCTACTCTGGAACCCCACTTCTCCGTCCCCTCCCTCCAGGCTAGATCCTGAATTCAGCCTGGGCCACTCTTCTGAGGCTACATTGGCGGGTTATCTTGTTAATAAATAAGCTGGCTCGGGTACCCTTTGGCCAGGGCCTATGGATGAGTTAGGTGTCCTACTGGCCCCAAGGACCTCAGTGTGCCTCAGTCTTCCTGGCGTCTGCCTGCCCCCTCTTCTGAATGTCATGTCCAGCCTGGTCCCCAGTGTGGGGACAGCCCAGTCACCAGTGTGCTGCGCTACGTGGCCCACGCTCAGCACGCAGCTCAGAGGCATGCATTCGCCTGTTGCGACCTTTCCGGCGGGATTCTGCGGCCACAGGGTGGGGCCCGGGCTGCGGGCGGCACATTCGCAGGGAGTTTGCCCCTCCACCGCCGCCTGGCTCCACCAGCTGCAGAAAGTCCCGGTACCAGAGTTTAGGGCCCGGTGGTGCAGGGGCTGCTGCCTCCTCGGCCCGGGCCAGGCGTTCGGCCTGGACCGCACTCAGCACGTGCAGCACCAGGCGCCGCAGTGGCTGCGAAAAGCCTTGCTCAACCGCGACGCACAGATACACGCCCGAGTCCTGGCGCCGCAGCCCACGCAGCAGCAGCCCCCGCGCCGTACGCTCAACTCGCTCCTCCGCCAGCACCTGCGTGTGAGCACAGGAACAGGAGCCAAGGGTCACCGGGAGCCGGAGCGGGACAAGGAAAAGAGGCGGTGGCGGGTACTCACTTAAAGGCTAGGTGCACGGGTATAAGGCAGCCTTCGGGTGAAGATTCGATCTGGGAGAGGGGTCACTTGAATGGGAGATGCACTAGAAACCCCAGTACGTGCGTGGGTGGGTTGAGGAGCCTCCCCCTCCAGATGGGAGAGGATGGGTCGGGAGTCTAGTTGGACACAGTGGGGGCATCACTGGGCTATGGAGTTCAGCCCAGGACTGGACCAGATGGGACCTACGGTAAGGAGTGTGACTGTGCAGGGCCTCACTGAACTGGGCTCCTTGGGCAGGACAGGGCTTCTCTTAGATGGGCCTGGTTAGGAAGGGTGGAGGGGGACACACCTGGGTGTGCGCCACCTCCCCTGCGCGATGGAAGGTCCACTCCACACGGGCTTGCAGCGAGCGTGGCTCACACTCCAGAAAGGCGCTGCCGCTCTCCACACCTAAGACCTTCCGCTCCAACAGCGCAGGGTGAGAGGAGTCTTGAGACAAGGAGGTAAAATTCAGACAAGGTACGGCTGGGTGTGGCAATTTCAAGGCCTGAGGGTATCTGCTGATGGAGTACTCACCCCCAGAGCACAGGGTGCTGGGGTCACCATTCCGTACGTCTTGCCTCCGGAACCGCCTGAGGGAGACATTAAAACCTGTGAGTCCTTCTCAGAAGGTGGAGGAGCAGCGAGAGACTCCCTCCCAGCGGCCAGATCCAGACCCCAAGCCAGCCCACCTCTTGGCAGTAGGCTGGAAGCGTGTGCAGGCTGATCCATCCCAAGCACAGTAAGGATCTCGGGCCAGGCAGCATTCTGCGCAAGCGCGGCCTAGGGCCGTGCAGCGATGCAAGGCAATCTGGGCCACGCCGCTCGGTGAGGCTACGTAGAGCTGGTGCTAGAGGGCACAAGAGTCTCCAGTCTGAGGGCAGCCCTTACCTGGCTCCCTTCGGTCAGATAGCCTTTTCCCCACTTGACAGATGGGAACACTGAGGTCTCATGGTCTAGCCAAGCAGAAGCTTACACCTGAACTCTGGGCTGTGAAAACCAAGGAGAAGACAGTGAGGGTCCTGGTGTCACAAGTTCAGTTAGTTACTCACCCTTTTAGAGGAGATCTGCATGCTGGTGATGGAGGCAGAGTCCTAAAAGAGAGGCAGGACATGGGGATCAGCGCTTAGTGGATCGGGGTGACGTGTCCCAGGGTGACTGGGATGAAGCCTCACCTCGAACACCTGCAGCTCTTCTAGGAGAAGTCCCTCAGAGTGAGGTCGGCTGCCCTTGGGGACTGAGATCACTTTCAGCACTGTGCCCACATCTGTAGAAATAAGAAGAGGGAGGGACTTGCTTCTCCCTGACAAGCCAAGTGCCCGCCCACCTGTGTGTTGTAGAGTATTAATTTACCTGGGCAAAGATGGGTTACATTTGTTTATGCTGGGAAATATTACTTTAACTGTGTCAAGGTGTGTTACACTTGTTTCTGCTGATCTAAAGATGTGTTACGAGCCGGGCGGTGGTGGCGCATGCCTTTAATCCCAGCACTCGGGAGGCAGAGCCAGGCAGATCTCTGTGAGTTCGAGGCCAGCCTGGTCTATAGAGCGAGATCCAGGACAGGCACCAAAACTACACAGAGAAACCCTGTCTCGAAAAAAACAAACAAACAAAACAAAAAACAAAAACAAAAAAAAAACCCCAAACAAACAAAAAGAGCTGGGCCGAGCACTCAAAACTAATAAGTCTCCATGTCATGATTTGGGAGCTGGCTGTTGGCCTAAAAGCAAAAGCACACACACCTACATGCACATGAACAAGCGCAGTCCTTCATCATGGTAAGGTCATGAAAAAGTGAAAATTGTAGGTTAGACCAACTAGGGCAGCCTTCCCAGAGTGAGACCATAGCCCAGACAAAGATGTAGATATTAGCTAACCGGGCCCAACTTCTGCCTGCAGGCCAAGGAACCTGGAGGGGCTCTATGTCCCACGGGCTATTGTGACGAGGAGACCCTGACCTGTACCAATGAAGAGAACGTCGTAGTGTCCGTCAGCAGCTGCTACACGGTCTGCCGCGATTTGGGTGAAGGTGTACCCAGCTCCCACTTGGAGGAAGAGAGGGCGCCCCCCGATGGGCAGGACGGAGTTGTACATGAGAGGGTGGTTCCGAGCAAACTGAATAACATCATCTGGGAAGTCCTTGGTGGAACTGAAGGTGCCGAAGGTCTTGCTGGGGCACTGGAGGAGGCAAAGCAGGTCAAGCGGAGATAGACACGGGTTTTGTGGTCAGCCCCTCCCTTCAAAGCCTCCGGGAACATGACAGGTGGACGGGGACAAGCGCCCTGAGTATTTAGCCTTTCCCTGGTGAGCCTTAGGCTGAGGGGGCACCTGGTCTCACTCGGCGGTTCTGTCTTACAACGGTGAGATTTCCCATACCAAAAGGAAGGAATCAGACCCCCCAACAAAACCCCCAGGCCAAAGTCAAGTTCTCTACCCTTGAGACTTCGAAGCTGATTGTTGCAGTCCCTAGCAACGCACCATGCCGGGCCGTGGGTAGGGGACGCGACCCTGGTAGGACACCCACTGATGCGTAGGCCCCTCCTTGTGAGCGAAGGGTCCCAAGAAGACTCGGCGCACATCATTCATGCTGTACACGCACACGGCAGAGCCCTGGAAGATGCCACTGCGGGCAATGAAGAGCGCAAAGTGAGGAGCCCCAGCAAGCCAAACCGACACCCAAGGGAACCTCTACTTCCTGCCCCTCACCTGGAGGTGGAGAAGACCGCATAGAGAAGCGGCGTTTGGCGGTCCCGGGAAGACAGAAGAAACACGTCCTCTGCAGGGCAAGGAAAGGTTGGCAGGGCAGTACACACACAGCCCAGGCTCCTGGATTCTGCACCCCCTTGACTCCTCCCCTGGTGCCATCCCTCGTTCAAGACACTCACGAAGTTGGTCAAAATGGGTGTCACCCTCGACTCCAGGTACTGAGCATACAAGGCGCGCCTTCAGAAATGTGGTCCACTTGTTGACCAAGCTGCGCTGGCCACCCAGGTCATTCTGCTCACAGGATCAGAAGGGATGAGGACCAGACCATAGCGGGCAAAGGGGCGGGGCAAAGGCAGCCGGGAGCGAACGGCCCAGTGTCTCCTTACCCTGCAGATCTGGCCAACCCGGGACACAGTCATGCGCCCCATTGCGGGTGCGGCCTCCACTGCGGACTCACGGAAGAAGAAATAGATTTTATCGTCGTCGGGGTTCTCGCTCTCTGGGATCCAAAAGACCTTAACAAACTTGGGTTCTAGACAAAACAGGAGGCCGGGTATCAGCGGGTTCTAGTTCTGGCCCCAACATTTAACCCATCTGCAGACTCCTGCAACTCCAAGACCTACCCTTATGATCAGCAGCTGCAAGGCAAGAAGCAGCCACGAGGGGGCAGTAGAGACCACAGCTACAAGCACAAGCAGGCTGCCCCTCTCCCCTTTACCGGGCTTCTGACCATGCCACACGGCCTTACACTTGCCAGGAAGAGGGAAATGGGTATCTGTTTTCACCTTCATTCATAAATCTTCCTCCCTAGCAAACCAATACTCCCTGTTCCTCCTTCAGTTCCTGCTGTCCCGTAGTAAAGGACTCCGGCCCTTGAGAGTCTAGGTGTCCGACCAATACTAGTTCCATGAGTCTGTTTCTTTGCTGACTCTGGCCTCAGGGCCTTTGCACTAGTCATTCCCCTTACCTGGAATGCGCTTCCAATTCTGTTGGCTGGTTTTCTTGTGTTCTGGAAACTGTTAAGAACTCATACCTCCTCCGGCAAGTGGCTCCCCTTCCTCAGCCCAAACTCCTTTTCCCTGCTCAATTCTCTCTTTGGCGTCATGGCCACTGGAAATTGTCTCATCATGTATTTATTCTAAGATCCATGGACTCGAAGACGCTTGCCTGTCTCTGGGACCCTGGCACAGGGCCTGATTACGGTAGATACTTGGGGAGTTCCCACTCTGCCCATTGCTCTCCTTCTCATTGTGGGGCGCCTTCCTTGTTGGAGGATGGCAGTTCCCTCCCAGGGGCCCCACCAGCCTCTCACCGTTGAGCCAGCGGGAATCATGGGGTTCTGTTCGGAGACTAGGATTCTGGCCCAGGCTGCGAAAGATGGTAAAGTCTCGGCCCATGAGGTCTGCTGCCACCCCTGAGTACAGTTCTTCCCCTGCAGACAGGGCAAGGGGGTGCTCAGCCAGCTGTGAACTCTCGGGGTGCTCAGGGTGTCTGAGGGGGTGCCCTCGGGACATGTGAAGTTCTAGAATTTCCAGTGGGTTCTGGGGTTGTGCTGGGGGCCGGCCTTTGGACTCACCCACCAGCACGGAGGCAGCCCGATGCCTCGGGTCGTAAGGACTCTTTCCCTTGCCATCCTCAAGCTTCTTCGGGTCCAGTCTGAGCATGGGTTCCTGGGAGGTGGGGGAGCTGTTAATGCCAGGTCCTTCTTCCCCGTGCCCCCCCGCTTCCCTGCTGTCCGGTCCTGGTCTTACCTCCAGGCGGTGGCCCACCTCCACAAATGCACAGGTTGGGTGGAAGGCCCCTGTGCCACAGGCCAGCAAGTGTGTGTGGTTATAGACGTGTACCAGCTTCACGAAGTTCATGCACTCCGTCTGGTAGGCAGACGGGGGTGGGGGTGGGGTGGGGGGCAGGCAGTCAGGCTTTCCCCAGGGAGGCAGCCCTAAGGAGCTGCACTTCACTGGGGGTACCCCACCCCTTCCTCTCTTCTGCATTAGCCCAGGGAAGCACTAGCATGGGCTACAGGGACTTGAGTGCCCTTCGTGACCAGTGTGCCTATCTTCACAGGGTGGCTACATGAGGAAGTAGAGCTATGCACAGCACCCCCCCATGACTCAGAGGCCCCCAAGAAGAACCACCCTGACTCACTCACCACCTCCAGACCTCATCCGCCTTGACCTCCCTGCCCTTACCCCAGCCAGAACAGGCTAGCCTCTCTCTCAGCCCTGGGATGAAGGGCCCCCCCCAACCCGCCTCCGCATGCGCCTCTTGGAGTAGCCCACACTCACACCAATGTCCTTCCCTGCCCAGTTACACTCTTCTCGCCATTCCACGGGGGCCGGCCAGGCCAGCTAGGGAGGGAACACAGGTTAGGGACGAGTTTCCCATTCAGTTGCCCACCCCTTTGGGTTTCTCTGGAGTTTAGGGTCTAGACAGTCTGGAGTAGGGTCCTAAGGCGTTTTCCTGGGACAGGCACTGAAGTTGGGAAAGGTTAGGGGTCCCTGGCACCTTCTTGGCTCGCTTGCTGATGTTATCCAGGCTGAGGGAAGCCACATGGTTCTCAGCACCCACAAACAGGCGTCCACGCTCCTCATCCACCAGCAAGGCTTCATAACAGCAGGTCCGCTCCAGCCTGAAAGTTCGGACACCATGCCGGGCCTGTAACTCTGCAGACAGAGACACCATTGAGTATTTACCTGTCATGACAGGATGGTCCTCAAGGTCCTGCCTGGTTGTCTGTCTACAGACCAAGGTAATTTGTGTGACCCAAGCCGCACACATGTACACTTAACATGCATGTGAGCAGCTTACGCATATGAAGACCGGCCCACCCAGGTGCGTGTACAGAGCCACAGGGTAGGTGGTGCAGCCCCCAGAAGGGAGAAAACAGACTGAGGCCAACATGTACAGGCAAGCAGACTGCCATGCTGTGAGGCCAGGCTCCTGGAGGCCAGGTTCTAGGAAAAGGTAGGAGCAAGTAGGAACGAACAAGACAGAATCCCATCCCTAAAAAGTCAGGCTGAGTGTCCCTTCCAGTCACCCCACTCCTGGCTTGGATTCAGCAGTTGGCCACCAAGTGCCACTGCCCAGGGACCACCCCTCTGTGCGAGGGGTACACTAAGAAAGGAACTCTGATGGCCCCAGAACCTTGACTTCCCTACCAAAGAGGCATGGCTGGCCTTGGGATGGGGGATGAGACAGAGACAAGGACTGTTGCCATGGAGACCGTAGGGGTCCTCCTTGGGAAAGCATGAGGAGAATGTAGGCAGAGAGGTTGGGGGCTGAGGTTAGGACAGGGTTAACTGGAGATGGCCTAAGAATGCCCCCAACCCAAGCAGTGTCTGGTGATGGGCATGCACGTACTGGTACCAGCAAGCCTTTCCATACTGGGCCCTTTTCCTGTTCACCGCAAGCCGGCCCTCCATCCGCTAGGTGCACCTACCTTGAAAAGAGAGCCGAAGGCGTGGAAGGTTAGGGGCAGCATCCCCCAGCCCCGCTGCCCAGAGAAGGGCCAGGCCTGGGATCATGGCGGCGGCCTCAGCCCGCCCCATGCCGGCAGCTCGGGGCGCTCAGGGTTCAGCAGGCGTGTGTGGAGGAGCCTTCAGCTGCCCTGGACTCTGCCCCAGGATCTGGAAGAGAAGAGTCGGCAGCAAGGCACAGAGGGTAGGGGCGGGAGGGGCACGGGGGAGTCCCAGGGGATCAGATTACAGCCCCTAGGGGAAGAGGCTGGGGGGTCGCATACCGTTTCCTCTCCACCAAGGGTGCCCCGCCTGGCCACAATCAGAGACACACCCACACCGGGCACACCCTCAGGGTCACCCTGCATCGCCAGGCACCCGCCCCACCACGTCACCCTCCTCGGTCACCTCCCCTCCTCTACACACACTCACAAACATTAATTCACAAACACTATGCACCCACTTCATGCCAGCCTGGGGCAGGGACAGGGAGGACACTGACGACATGGACAAGGTCCCCAGGCGGTAAAGGGCAAAGGGCCAGCAAGGAGTCAGATCCTGTGGTCATTTCAGAGGGCACCGAGTGCAATGAGGAAAACAGCCGATGTCGGGAGGATGACAGGGGGACGAGGCCTCTGGAGGTGGCTGTGTACCCACAGACAGGGAGGGAAACGCAGAGGCACTTTCGGGATTGGAGCCAAGGTTGTGGGTACCTTCAGATATGAATATGTTTCTGAGGGTCCCTTTGTGAACATGTATATATGAACAGTGTGCACATGTGTGTATGTATAAATGTCTATGAGCAAACACATGTCCCATCTATGTAGTTATAAGTAGGGTGTGCAAATGTGCATGCACACATGTTGGCACTGTGTGTGTAAATCTACTCAGTGTGTACCAGCATAAAATATGCCTGTTTGGTACGTGAGTCACGTCTGTGCCTGGGCTGATGTGTGTGCATGCAGAGTGGACATGCAAGGGAATACAACAGCAGCATCAATCACTCCCTCTGACTCTAACATACATACAGAACATGTTCTTCCCAGGACCCCCAGCCAGACCCAGGCCTAATTCAGCAGGCCGAGCTCTGGGAAGACTGCTTCCTCTCCGCAGCCTGAGGGGAGAAGGAGTTGGGCATGCAGAGACTAAGATCAGGCTTGAGACCCAAGAGAGGAATGTGGACAGGCTGAGGTGACCTCTCTGGCTCACCTGAAGCTCCAGGTAGAGCAATGATTTGCCCTCAAAGTCCCTTCCAATTCTGGGTCTTCAGTTTCCCTGTCTTTGCACCCCTCCACTGAGCCAGACTCCTTGCCTGTCACACTCAGGTGGAGCCAGGTTCTGCCGGCTATGGCCATCCTCTTTTACAGGAGCAGGCAGGACAGGTTGGGCACAGGGGTCAAGCTCACAGACCCCTCCTCCTCCCTCCATTCTCTACCCCCACCCCCAGCTTCTAGACCTTTCCCCAGCCAGGACCCCCAGCTTCTAGACCTTTCCCCAGCCAGGACCCCCAGCTCTCTCCTTCCATTCACTAACACTTGCCTCTGCCTCTTCTCAGGTTCTAGAAGTCTTTGAGGCTGACAAGGGCTGCCTTCCCACACTCCTCCAAGAACTCTGCAAAGGGGTCTCCCACCTTAACCCCTCTTTCCTGGAGAAGGGGAGCAGGCTAGGGCCCACGGGGCACCCTCTGACGGCTCCTTTAAGTAGAAACCCCCGCCCCCACCAGGCAGCCACCGCCCAGAATACCATAAAGTTTGCAGGGCTACAGGGTGGATCGGGTGACCGGCACAGGCAGCTGGGACTGGCTGGAGACGGTGGCCCCGCATGAGTGGAATGGGAGCAAGGGTTGGGCAGGTAGAGATGGCCCTTTCCTGCTGGATCTCAAGGTGAAGGGTGCCCCAGATGGCCCAGGTGGTTGTCCCAGAAACCTGGCAATCAGTTAAGGCAAAGCAGGAAGAAACAGCAGAAGGAATAGGAACAAGGCTGGGCGCCTGGCACCCCGGTGGGTCCTCACCTGTTCCTCCACCGCTGAAGGATGACTGGATAGCAGCCTCGGCTCCCAGGAGCTGGCTGGGATAGGTGGGTCAGAGGTCAGGGAAGGCACTCTCCTCCCTCTTCTGGGCCCCAGGCCCTGACGCTTCCTTACCAACTGGACCTCTTCAAACTTCAGCTGTCTGGCCCACAGTGGCCGCGATGACAGCCAGGCAGGAAAAAAAGGGGGGTGTGGGGGGGGCAGATGCAGAAAATCTCACTTCTGCCGAGAGTGTGGGCCCATCCTGACGGCCCAGTAGGCTGGAGCTAGGGCCGACTGCAGGGAGGTGGGTAACTATGGACTCCAGCTTCTCCTCCAAGCTGGGAAGACTGCCCTGCCCATCGAGGCCAGGGCCAGGTACCTGAGGGAGGTTTTGTAGGGTTATTTTTGTTTGTGTGATGGCAGGGTCTCATGTAGCCTGGGCTGGCTTCCAGCTCGCTGTGTAGTCGAGGATGGCCCTCAACTCCTGCTGTTCCTACCTCTGCTTCTCAAGTACTGGCCAGGTGTGAGGCAGGTGGCTTCAGACGGGACGGGCTTTGGTGCCCATGTTGGGAGGCACCTGGGTCCTGTCCTGTAGCCTGTCCTGAAAAGCACCCCTGTTTGCATTCTTAGGAGCATTTTAAAGGTCTGGGGATCGCCTCAGTCTCCCCAAGCCTGGTAGCAGGACCTCAGCAGTCAGAAGGTCTCCAGCCTCACTTGTATGCCACAGGTTCGGGGCACTCCCACTGTGCAGTTTTGCTACAAACCACCCGGGTGCCATCCAGTCAGAGATAAGGGGGCACAGACAGAGGATAAGGGAAGACTTATCTTTCCGGAGTCGGCTCCGAGGCCTTGCCTCAGGACCCAGTGTTCCTGGCCTGCCTGTCTGGCAGCAGTAGGGGAAACGAGGTGTTCAGAAGGGAGCCTAGAGGAACCTGAGGCTTCTAGGATGAGGCCTTGTCCTGCTCCTGGGCTGGCTGCCTCTCCCCAAGGACCTGGGCAGCCTCCTCTGGCCTCATGCAAGCAAACAACATTCTTGGCTGTTTACAATTTTCCACTCAGCAGCCAAGATCAGCAAGTGCCTTTGAGGCCCCTACCCACCCCTGCTCATGTCCCCAGTCTGCCCCGACTGACTCCGGCTCTCCAGGCCCAGGGGCCCAATCTCTCAGATTTCCTGCCCCAGCCCAGTTACTCATCCTGGGAGACAGCCCCAGAACCCATCATTTTTCTGCCAACGAGACTCAGTGCCCAGCTCAAGGGGAAGAGCCCTCTCTAGCCTGCTCAAGCCAGGTGACCCGCTCTGGCAGAGATGTCTCCCCCCTTGAAGAGGAAGGGATGGGCAGCAGGTTCTTCACAAAATCTCTTTCCTGCTCCCTAGTTCCAGGTGTCAACATGCCAGGCTGGGGGTGGGGGGTGGGGGTGTCCCTTAGAGGCAGTGCTTCAGGTATCAGTATCTAGGTGTCACTCAGACACCTTGAGGTGTCTCCTCAAGACCCTGCAATAAGGCCGTCTTGGTCTGGGTCTGAAACCCAGAGAGGCAGCTGGGCTCCTGCATGCACCCCTGCCTCGGGACATCCACGCGTACAGGTCTGCCTGGGTTCTTCCTGTGAACTGCCCATCGTCGGCACGACATGCCAAGGCGTTGGCTTTTTTTTCCTTTTGGAAATAACTGGATTGTTGCACCAAGTCACAGCGCTTGCCTCCCACCCCCCTCACCATTGACCCCTTCGCATCCTGCTTGGACCGCCCGCCCGCGGTGTGGCTGCAGCTGGACACTATCGGATGAAGGTGGCACACATGCCAGTGCCCCGGGCTGGGTGGGATCTCAGGCTCGCCAGTCACACCTGCTTTTGCCATCAAGGCTGGTGGCTCCACGGTACAACCGTCCCCCATTGGCCACGTGGGCGCTCGGTATGCGACCATGAGGACTGAAGCTTGGTGCCAGGAGGTGGCAAGGCACAGTCGTGAAGAGCCTCCTGAAGCCTAAGCCTCCCAGAGAGTCTAACACCTGCCCCCAGCAGATCTCCTGGGGAAAAGTCGGGGGACTGACGGGACATTGCCCGCCCACAAACCCCAAGTCTGGTCTCTAGGGTTCAGGAGACACCCCCCCCCGGCCCACCTTTTGGAAAGATCACTTCCTCCCCTCCTTCCTTTCCCTTCAGTGGGCCATGTCAGAGCTGAGGTGGAGGGGGCCAGGAGGGGCCATCAGGAGCTTTGGGCCTTTAGCTGCGGCCCTCCCCCTCCTGGCTCCACCCCTCCCTTTCCTCCCTCCCTCGTGCACATTCCTCCCAGGCTGAGGTCAGCCCCTCTGGGATGGGGAGTCCCCCCCCCCACAACCAGCCACATCACAGTTCCACACTCACTCCTGTTTTCTTCATTGCCCAGCAGAGTGGGGTGGGGAAGCAAAGGGGGGAGGGGGTGGGGCCTCGTTCTCGCAGCCTTTGAGGGAGGGGCTATTCCACGAACGAACGCTGCAAAAGTAGACTGTAGGAGACTCTACTTATCATCAGATATTTGCATAAACGACATTTACATAAATACTTCATTCCCTACGCTGGCTGTAGATGCCTCCCTGGAAGCTCTGATTTGGGGAGTGTGCTCTGAATGCTCTGGTAGGAGTTAAAGTTGCTGGGGGAGAATCTCCAGAGCCGGTTTCGGGACCGACTTTTTGTTTCTTTTTCTTTTTCTCAAGACAGGGTTTCTCTGTGTAACCCTGGCTGTCCTGGAACTCCCTCTGTAGACCAGGCTGGCTTCGAACTCAGAGATCAGCCGCCTGCCTCTGCCTCCTGAGTGCTGGGATTCACCACTGTGAACTCTTTAGTGGTGCAGGAAGAGACAGGATTGAGTTCAGACCCTGCAGCTCATCAGTTGAGTGTCCCGAGCTGGAGACCGAACCTCATAGCTCACTCTCCTCCTCCTCACTGCCGTCACTGTAGCCACTGGGTGAAGCAGGTTGGGAGCATGCTAGAGGAACAGCTGGTATGAGCTATTATTGCCAGGGCAGCAGGTGTGGGCATCTGATGAGGACCTTGAGGGAGACCCTTCCCTGTCATGGCTACCATCCCAGTCTCAGGCTCAACTCCTCTTCCACACATCTCTCCTGCTCCCCACCCTGTGCGGCCACTTTCTCCACCCTCAAATTACTATGCCCAGGGCTTCATCAGAGCATAGCTCAGCAGTTAAGAACACTGGCTGCTCTTCCAGAGGACCCTGGTTCAATTCCCAGCACCCACATGGCGGCTCACAACTGTCTGTCATCCAGCTCAAAGTGATTTGACACCCTCATACAGACATAAATGCAGATAAAATAAAAAAATAAATCATAGAAAAGTGAGAAGTTAAGACAAGAAGACAGAAGGAACCACGGTCTCCACCTCGGTCTCCCTTGAACCCTGATGCCTGCCACTGTGTGACTGAGGCTGAGTGTCTGGCAGACATGCATACACTTGCTGTAACACAGCTGTACACATGCCCCAACTGGCTGGAGGCCATCACCCTGAGCACATATGGGGGTTGCCCTCTATTCTGATTGCAGTGGAGTTGGGGAGACACAGACCCACACAGCAGTGGTGAAAGTCCTAGGATCCAGTCAGTGTGTGGGGACGGCTTAAGCACAGAACTCAGCCAAGAGACACTGTAGTCTTATCGTCACCCCTTCCTATCTCCCAAGGCCACTGGGATCCTGGCTGGCCATGCCACTGAACTCAGGCTGTTGTGTTTTAGCCTGAAGCTAGCCTGGTGATCCTGGTCTAAGGGTGTGTGTAATGATTTTTGAGGGACATCAAAAGTTAGGGGTCTGGGCTGTCCAGATGGCCCAGCAAGTGAAGATGTTTGCCACCAAGCCTGACACTCTGAGTTCAATCCCCAAAACATACATCGTGAAATTAGAGAACTGAACCCCACAAGTTGTCCTCTGACCTCAAAAGCATGGTGTGCCTTGCATGTGCGTGACACACAGACACACATGAGCAGATATATGTAAATAAAATGTTAACATAAAAAAGTCTTAGGTGGGGATTGGGCATTTAGCTCAGTGGCAGAGCGCTTGCCTAGCAAGCACAAGGCCCTGGGTTCGGTCCTCAGCTCCGGGGGGAAAAACAAAAGTTTTAGGTCTGCTTTGAAACTTGGCAAGAGATTCCATCAGGACTAGGAGCTCCTGCAGCCACAGAAGCCCTGGCTATAATCCCAGGAAGGGCCCCTTTCCCATTCTGCACAGGACATCTGTCTCCACCTGCCTGCTGGGCCTGCCTCCTCCCCACAAAGTCTCCCATAAGCTCCTTCTTAGGCCTCTGACTGCTAGGGGGTTGTTCCTTCCTTCCTCTCTTCCCAGCTGTTCCGATGCCCTACAAATAGGTTAAAAATACCAAGGCCACCACCAACCACATCAGTAGCTCCAGCAACTATTTCAAGTGAGCCAGACTCTTGGAGGCGGACCAGCCTCGTGGCCGTCCTCATAGGCTGGGGACTACCCACCCTACCCTGAAAACAGGAGCTTGGGTCCCTCCTTGGCTCTGCACATCCTGCTAAAAGCCTTGGACCTCATATGGCAGCTGCCCATGGGTGTGGACATTGGGAGAGTTCTAGAGAAAGAACTCAATTTCTCTTTCCTCACTCAGCTGTTTCCCAAGAAAGGAGGAATTGCTGAGGCCCAGCCAAGAACGGCTCCAAGCAGTGGGGGATGCCTACCTCACTGGGTACCTCCAGTTAGGGTTCAGGATACCTGGGCGGTCCTTCTTGCCTCCCCCTTACCCCCCCCACGCATGGCTGGGAATTTCCCACCAGCTAAAGAAAGGCTGAATTGAGAAGCCGCCCCCACCAGTCCTGGGACAATGGAGCCTTATGCCCTCCAAATCAGAGCGGGAGTAGAGAGGGAAGGGCCAAGGGCAGGTGGGGGCCCAACTGTCTGTACCGGGGTGAGCTCTGCTTGCCAGAACCACACCCGCACCCAGTGCCAAGTGAGATCCCAGGGGATCCAGGCCAGAGCCCTAGATGGCCCACCCAGGCAGGGAGGCACCGGGTGCACCAGACAGACAATGCCGGTCCCTCAATGGCCCTCTGTGCAGGGTTCCCCTCGGGACAGAAGGAAGGAACTATCTCCGGTGCTTGCTTCCTGCTGGGTGGGTATGGTGGCCCTGGAATAGCTCCAGCCCGCCTGCGCACATTGGGGTTCAGGCCCGAGCCTCTGAAGAAAGACAGGGATTTGGGGATGGCGCAGGATCCTGTTCTTGTCAGTCGTGCCCCCTGGAAGAGATAGCCGGAATGGCCTGAGGATCTGGGGCGGAGGAGAGGCATAGGAGACAGGCGCTCCTTCCGACCCACCGCCACCTTTCATCTCCTGCCAGCGTCAGAAACCCGGGGGCCTGTGGCCACCGACAGGTGTAAGGAGGCGACGTCCCAGGTCCCGGGTCCAATCCCTCCCTCCCCCGCCTCCGCGGCGCCGACCCTCGCTCGCCCCAGGACCCAGCCGCTTTGTTAGGCCGCGGGCGCGGAGCCTCCAATGCCACACAAAGCTGCTTTTGTGTCCAGCGTCCTCCACGGGACCCGCTGACGTCAGCGTCCGTGACCAGCTCAGCAGCAGAGAGGACGGGCTGTGGCGCCCCCTGGCGGCCGGCGGCAGAGGCCGCGGAGCCCCGCCCAGCGGGGGCTGGTCCTTCGCCTACTGCTCCCAGCAGCGGGCTCGGTCCGCGGCTGCCCCTGCTGTTCCCGGAAGAAAAGCCAGGCACTTAGCACGGTACCCTGCCCACGCTCATTCCGCAGGCCCCCAGCACTTTGTTTTCCACAGTCAGCCTTGCAGTGCCGCCAGTGACAGACCTCTCTGAACCCTGCCGTGACAGCCCGTCCCTACCCCTCTGATTTGGCGAGGTGGTATTCTAACCCTTACTTTTTTTTTTTTTTTTCCAAAATGTGTATTAGCATGTCAATTATACATAATAATGGGTTCCATGATGACGTTTCAACATGTATAACTTGTATTTTTACCCTGTCAACCCCCGTGACGTTCTCCTTCCTCTCCCCAACTAGTCCTTTTTCTTTTTCTTTCTTTCTTTCTTTCTTTTTTTTTTGGTTTTTTGAGACAGGGTTT